ATCCACTCATGATTGAGGTATTAAAGAACTGCTTCCTGAAATAATATGTAGCACTTCATTGATTTCAGAATATGGCCTTGCCTCCTTTCTGAAATAATCTCCATTGCTTTTGTTTTATTTTTGTGTGTAATTAGTAATCTACTTAATATGACTATTCTCTTTGTTAAGGTGGAATTATTTCTGTTGAAGATGTTTAGAGAGCAGATCAATAGAGCACGTCATAAGATCACACACTCTCCAAATGGAATAGAGCAGGATCGAATATCCATTTCTCTTACCTTGAATTACAGATGGTGATGCAGAGAAAATGATGTATTGATGGCAAGCTTTGTTTTAGAAGCTTCAAAATACTGTACGTATTATATACTGGTTTTGGAATGGATCTACACCAATTAAAGTAAAAGCTATAGTCAAAACAAATATGGTGCGTGTATATGTGGCATGTGCCTCTTACTTGCCACTGGCTGGCTAATTGTTGACCCTCTGGTCATGCATTGACATGTTGCTTGCTGTGACACTGTTGACTGATGCAGGCCACAATACATCATTCCTACGACTCCGTATTCGTACGTTCTAAAGCAGCAGGAATGACACTGACCAGTGATAGGTGGTTTATACCTTTTATAGTTATATATACCCATTCTTATGATTCCTCAGTGCCCTGCCGTGGTTTCTCTTGTGGTATTCGAGGATGCATTCCTATTGATTGACTGTTGACATTTTTACCCAGCTTGTTCTTGTTTTTTATTACTTCATGGCCTCTGCTTGCTCAACATTCATCTGTATTAATTGACCTCAGCTTGTTTCTGGCTACTCTTTGCCTATCGCAGGCTACTCGCCGACCTTAAGCCCAGCCACCTCTAAAGACAGAAAATACACTGTATCCTGGGTTTTCTTTATTTGGCTGACCTAGGTTTGTGTGTTTGGCCACTTCTGTTCCAGACACTAATAACCGAGGTGAGTAACTCGGGCTTGACGTAAGACAGAGCAAGTGAAGAGGGTTGAAGCTATGGGTCGTATGGGGAGACGAGAAGATGTCTTCTGATAATGGAGTTCTGCAATGCTTGCTCCCCTGCTTAATTTGTACTTCCCAAGCTGCCAGTTCTATTACTTTGGCCTTAAATGTGAAATTTACTTTGAATTTCTCACTATGCTCACTTTAGCAAATACAGTGGAACCTCTGAACTTGAACTTAATCCGTTCCCAAAGGCTGTTCGAGTCCCGAAGTGTTCGAGAACCGAATCAACATTTCCCATAAGAATTAATGTAAAATTGATTAATCCGTTCCAGACCCCCTTAATTACAGCATTTTACATTTATATGTATGCATTAAAAATGCAGAGATCACTCTAACAATAAGCACTTTACATTTATTTGAGTGGTTCCTGCCTTTCAACTTGCTAAAAATTTACTGTTGGCCATTATTACAATTATTTATAATAATTGTCTCACTTTAAAATGAAACATGGCTCTTTGTTGTATGTTCGGGTACCGAAGATCGTTTGCTTATCGAGACATTTGGCTCTCTGTTTTATGTTCGGGTACCAAGACATTTTTTTACTCTAAATTTTTGTTCAACTTCCGAATTGTTCGAGAATGGGACCATACAAGTTCCAAGGTTCCACTGTAGCCCTGCCTGTCAGGGGAATTTACTAAACTGCTTATTGTTAGAAGTTTACCTGGGAAATGCAGATTTTATGTCTTTCATGGTAATTCAGAAAAGTAAGAATTCAACGTGAATTTCAAAATTGAGACCAAAATAGCCAAACTGGACAATTATCTAAGTTAAGTTAAGTTTGGCTACTCTGGCCTTAAATTTGGAATTAACTTTGAATTCTCTCCTCAATAAATAACTCCGATAATAGCTGTTGTGGAAACGTTGATAACTTGATATTATTTTCTCCTTTATCAGCTATTTGTGGTCTATAGCATGCAATTCCCCAATGGATTCTTTAGTCTGTCTTTAGAATAGACACTATCTCAGTGCTCTCTTTGTGTAAGGGCATTATGGAGCAGCCTGAAATACTACGTTGCAGGGACGTGTGGTGCAAAGGATGTGATAATCTGAGAGAGCGGCCAAAATAGAGGATGCAATGCTTGATATCTGATTTGGGTAGATATGAAGTATAAAATAAGGACAGGAATGTAGGGGCTGATTCCTAGACGTATGGGAGGGATGATAAAATATAAGTTGGTAGAAGAGGGGAAGAAGGATGGTGAAAATATTGCTCAGTAGAGACTAGAAACCCTTCACATATAAAGGGATTCTATAGTGTTATCAATACAAAATTGTATTCCTATCACTATAGTGCCCTCTGGTCCGTTCCCCCCTGCTCCTTCGCAGCCCCCACATGACAAAGGGTTAAAAATACTTTATTTACTAACCCGATTCCAATGCCGATCTCCCTCGGCACTCTGTTGGCACTCCGCCTTCTCCAACGTCATCCAATGGGGGAAAGGGCCTAATACGCATGCGCAGTGAAAATCAGTGAAATCCCCGTAGGAAAGCGTTGCTTTATTGCTTTCCTATGGGGATTTCACTGATGCTGGGTGACATCCCTTGTCAAGGGACTCCTTGTCCGCAAGCATCCAGGAAATGCCTCTAGTGGCTGTCTGACTGACAGCCACTAGAGGTGGACTTAGTCCTGCAATGTAATTATTGCCGTTTTTCTATAACTGCAATGATATACATTGCAGGACTAGGTGGGACAGGAACAGTGCTCCCAGACCATTTCAATGAGATGACGTCGTCTGGGTGTTGATAGTGTCCCTTTATATTGAACGTATGGGGGAATTAAAAAGGACATTCGATACCAAACTTTTAAAAGGCTCTTGTGAGTGATCACATATTGCTAAGGTACCTATTCATTATGCCTTATAGGGAGCCTAGGCTATAGTGTTCACATATAAAGTAGACATTTCTCTGTTGTATTAGTGTTTTTGGACACTTTCTATGTTAGTGTACTTTTTTAAATTTTGCTTCAGTTGCCTTTGTCAACTTATAAAGAAGATCTGTAATGTTTGTGCTCTGCACAAATGAATTTAAAGCATTGTGATAGTTGGCCTAGGAACAATGTTTTGGTATTGACACATGAATCTCTTCTACTGCGCCAAGAAATCATTCCGGACGTTGGCAGCAACAGACACTGATAAGCTGGGTCTCGGAGATGATGTAATAATGTAATTTGGCAATCAGGTCATTCTTATGATCAGCCTCAGAGAATGCATTGTTCAGAAGGTGGTGCATTGGCTTGGATTGTTATTTACGGGTTCTTTGTGAGATATCTACAGTTATTTCCACTAATATTGGCAGCCTTCGTAAGTATGAGTAAAGAAGGCTGTAAAAATTTGACTTTATTGTTTAACTTTTTTAATCGCTCGTTAGATTGACCTTCTGTACTCCTTTGACCTCTGCCTGTCCCTGTTTGCAGGCTGCTTTCCTGTGCTTTGCACCTCGTTAATCCCGGCCCAATAATACACAACTCTACCGTCTTTTTTCCTAATTGGGGAGATCTGACCTGAATTCTGTGAGTCAGGATCACTTGTATTCCTGATAAAGTCATAGTTTGGGGCTTTTTCCCTTCGTTTTAGATAGCTGCGTCGCATGGATATATGCCCCTCTCACAAAATAGCTGAATAAGAAGGATCATGAACATTATTTATTTTTTATTTTTTTAAATGACTCCTGATCCAGCATATATTTCCATTTCTAAAGTTTGATTCATCAATAGAAACAAGGAAGCTGAAATATGGTTTTAGGCATATGATCTTGTTTGCATTTTATGTTTTAGTTACTTTAAGTACTGTCTTTCTTCATTTACATTCATTTAGAACACCAAAGTCGACCACACAAATCAATTAGTGCTTACATTCAAAGACATCTTTCCCTCCATCTGAACAGTCTGTGGGTTTAGGAGAGGAACACCTGGAAAACCCTTTCAGACCGAAGAGGTTTGGAGAGCTTTTTATGTATACATGGTGGGTGTATCATTAGGTACATACAGAACACATTTTTTTTGCTAAAAATGAATACATAGTTGACTGTCAGATTACTTCGGGAATCTTTAGCATTACTAATGTGTATACAGTTTAATTAAAATGAATAAAAGAGATCATTTATACCTTCTTTTGAGCCGGGAGCAATTATAGATGCATTCCCTTAATATATACACTTTTTTGTTTAATTTCTAAAGAACCAGTAGAATTTGGAGTTGCACACCTGGAGGTTCAAATTATGCAGAATTCATGTAGACCTTCAATGTGTTTAAAGCAGCACTGTTAAATGTGCGTTTGAGACAATCTTAATGAAATTGCACTGGAATTTTATTGTAATTCCAACACAATCAAAAAAACATTATAAGACAGAGTAGGGACTATTTTATGTAGAAATTTTTTTTTTGCAAAAATGTGGAAAAAGACAGAACTTCTATACATGCACCATCTTGTCATTTGCCATCGCGTGTTACCAGGGCTGCCATCAGAAATTTTGGAGCCCCTTACACAACTCAAGGTGGAACCCTTGTGGGTCAAGCCAAGTCCCTCTTCCATATTTTACAGGCACTCAGAGCTGTGGTAGAGGATGTAGTGCAGGCTCGGACTGGCCATCGGAAAAACCGAGCAAATGGCCGGTGGGCTGCGATGGCCATGGGCCGAGGGCGAAAAGGGAGATCCAAGCGCCAGCCTTGCTCTGTACCATGATGGGTCGGTGGGGAGATCAAATATCTGCACAATGCCAGGGTTATTCACGGAAGTGAGAATTCAAAGTGAATTTTAGATTTAATGCCAAAGAAATTAAACTAGAAGCATAGCTGGCTGAGATTTTTTTAAAGTTTGGATATTTTCAACATAATTTTGAAATCCACTCTGAATTCTCAGTTTAGTGAATAACCCTGTAGATGTAGATTGTTGTTGTACTGGGCTTGGTATCACATTGTGTTCTGTACATGGGCTTAAGTGGACAGTCTAATTGCAGAAGTAACCTACCATCTGAAAGCTGCAGCAACCATCATTGGTTTTCAGAACTACAGTTGGTAGTTTTTAACCTCTTAAGGAACTCTAATTCCCAAATAACCTCGGTGTTTGTTTGGTTCTAGCAGGGGGGCAGCTACTGGTATACCCTGGATCGAAGATTGGGCACTCAGCTTCGGGAGGGACAGACATGAAGCGGTGAGAGAGGAAGGGGACACCCGCCTAGCCAGTCAGATCAGCTGAATCAACCCTAGCGATTAATGGGGTGACAGATGTCGCAGCCAGATCGCCATCACATCCCAATTCCCAAATAATCTGTGTTATTATAGAATGCTTATTTTGCATGTGTAGATCAATACAGTTTGTAAAATGAGCGGGACATTCCATTTTGATCAAGCATGTTTAAAGGACCACTATAGTGCCAGGAAAACATACTCGTTTTCCTGGCACTATAGTGCCCTGAGGGTGCCCCCACCCTCAGGGTCTCCCTCCCGCCCGGCTCTGGAAAGGGGAAAAGGGGTTAAACTGACCTTTTTCCAGCGCTGGGCGGAGAGCTCTCCTCCTCCGATCCTCCTCTTCTCCTCCCCGTCGGCTGAATGCGCACGCGCGGCAAGAGCTGCGCGCGCATTCAGCCGGTCACATAGGAAAGCATTCATAATGCTTTCCTATGGACGCTGGCGTGCTCTCACTGTGAAAATCACAGTGAGAAGCACACAAGCGCCTCTAGTGGCTGTCAATGAGACAGCCACTAGAGGGAATGGGGAAGGCTTAACCCATTGATAAACATAGCAGTTTCTCTGAAACTGCTATGTTTATGAAAAAATGGGTTAACCCTATAAGGACCTGGCACCCAGACCACTTCGTTAAGCTGAAGTGGTCTGGGTGCCTAGAGTGGTCCTTTAAAGGCTGGTATCTATGACATATATTATCACTGTAACCCTAAGAACCAACAATATAAGTATGAGAGCCGGTGGGGACATCTGTTTGTGGATATGTGGAGTAACAGCTATGTTAATGTCAAAGAAGTTAATACATTATGGAGAGGTTCATTTCGAGTTTCAGCCATGGACAGAATCCAATTGTGAAATTCTCAAACTACCATCTATATAGGGACAGTAATTGTATAGCTTGAATGTTCTCTAAAAATGTTAGTTCTGAATCAGCCATCAGCTGGTATATAGAGGATTCCATATCAAAGATTCTAAATATCCCATTGACAAGAAGATTTGTTAATGTGGCTGGATTGGGGTAGAAATCAGTGTCTGTTATTGCATGTCTGCTATAAAATGCATAATTCTTTGAGCACAAATAGTCAGATATATGCATAGGCTAAGCTTTACATATATTTTCAGCTATGTTAAAGGACCACTATAGGCACCCAGACCACTTCAGCTTAATGAGGTGGTCTGGGTGCCAGGTCCATCTAGGTTTAACCCTTTTTTCTATAAACATAGCAGTTTCAGAGAAACTGCTATGCTTACATATGGGTTAATCCAGCCTCTAGTGGCTGTCTCACTGACAGCCGCTAGAGGCGCTTCCGCACTTCTCACTGTGGTTTTTCACAGTGAGAAGACGCCAGCGTCCATAGTAAAGCATTGTGAATGCTTTCCTATGGACTGGCTGAATGCGCGCGGCTCCACCACTGAACAAATACACAATTAAATGCATACGTGTTTCTATAGGGAATATATATTGTGCTTTTTCTTTTAGACTTTGTGTGGTTTAGTGTCTCAATACCACATGTGAATAATCTGCATATCTCTGGTTTATTACAATAGAGAATTTGCATCACTGTATGAATGTAATCCTTTTGTGCTTTGACCTATACTAAGGCTGACGTAGATATTTAAAGAACGATCTCCTGGCAGTGCATCGCTCAGAGTAAAGAAACATTCTAAGCCTCTATATTGTGGAGACTATGAGCACTGTAAGTGGGTGAAGAAGTAGGTGCTTATAAAATGTAGGTTAGTTTACTCATGTGCCAGAGTTAATATACAAACATGCCAACACCCACTTTACACGTGAGTTACATAGTAAGGGAGCTTTTCTTTCTCTGATTTGTGCTATGGCTAACTTTTAGCACTCCATAGCCTGTAATTGTGGACAATGTTAAGTTTGTTAATGATTAAATTCCTCCTACTATCCATACAGTTATTCTTACGTTTTTGCTATTTTGGCCAAACCATTTGCAATTCTCAGGTTAGTAAGGAACTGTAAATATTTTTCAACTTATTTTAACTTAAAGGAAACATGTATTTCTGACCCTATAGTGTTAAAACCACCATTTAGATGACTTTGCCCCCTTTATCCCCATAAAAAGTAAGAAAACTTATCTTATATCCAGGGCAGTGCAGGTCCACCGGTACTGGCCCCGCCACTGATCCGCCTCCTTGTTGACATCAGAATTTGATTTTTAGCCAAGACAATGCTTTCCCTATCGGAAAGAATTGGATTGGCTGAAATCTGTAAGGAGGCAGAACGGGGGCGGAGCCAAACACCAGCTCGGCCAATCGGCACCTGCTCGTAGAAATGGACTTAATCAATGCTTCACAGCTGAACGCTGAAAGGTGTCCAGTGGCCACTCCTCAGAGGTATCCCTAAGTATACATACATTTCCACAATCCCATCACTCTATTTCACGGACTTTAATGATGCTCCGGTGCCAACTCCAGCCATAGTATAGGAAAGAAGATGAGTGCACTCTGGAGACTGTTGTAGTAAAGTAGAAATGCTTTTATTTAGCACAAATAAACATCAACATTTCAGTCCTCCTAGACTTTTCTCAAGACCAGTATCCAGAGTGCACTCATCTTCTTTCATATATATATCATTTCCAAAGATCCTTGCACTCAGACTACATGAAAAATATGAATTGCCGGGTGCTAGAAGCCAGGGTCATTAGATACAGAAACAAACAAAAGGATGGCCAGCACTCACAGGTCTCTGCAGGATTAAAATATATATAAATAGATTTGTTTTCACAGGCATCTTTGTGTAAATTGTAGGCAAATTAAATTTGGTGTTGGGAGATATACTTGCCCATCAAAAATAGGGTACAGCACAGTAGATAATGTTCCAAAGTCTGTTTTGGTTATTTCGCTTTGGCTGTGGCTTTGAGGGTGAAGTGAACACTTTCAGCATCATAACCACTACATTGTGCTGAAGTGGTTATGGTACAACACCCCCAATATAAGGAATCAAATTTGAAAGGGACACCGAGCACCAATACAACTTTAATGCATTTGGTAAATCAATGATATGTTGTATTTTTTGCATGCTCAAATCTTTATAGGTTTTACACACAAAAAAAACCAAATTGTAGTTACCATAAATTATTTTTTCTTTCTTATCAGTGGCAGTACGCTGGGGATGTTAAAATCTTTTGTCACAAATAACCTCCTACTAATTCAAATTAGTTAGAGATCCCATGCCTTCTGCTTGAAATACCTTAGTTATACCAGATGCCCACAGTTATACAAAAGAATACATCACAACAGAATACTGCCCAAAAAAATATTTTACGCAACAAGTGCCTCTGATACTAAGGAAATAATTTATGGTAAATAAAATGTCTGGTTTTCCCTGCGTACAGTGGCAGTATGTAAGAGAGATAGCAAGAAAACTCCATGAAGAGTGGGAACCAGGATACGGCAGCTTGAATCACCAAATGAGTCTTCCGCTGAGGTTGAGACGTCTAGCCTGTACTGCTTGATGAGGGTATGATAGGAAGACCAGGTAGATGTCTTCTAGATATCCTCAGGAGTTGACATTTCTCTTTCTGTCCATAAAGTGGGTAGTGCTCTAGTGCAGGTGTTCCCAACCTTTTTTCACTTTAGTACTCATTGGGGGACATACTAAAAGGAATGCCCATAGACTTTAACAAGGCAGTGGAATGCCCATAGAGAATAATGGAAGTGAAAGGAATGCCCATAGAGAATAATGGAAACAAAATATTCCAATTAGAGAAAAAACTATTAGACATATGAAATACACCTTTTGCCACAATACTCTCCAGATTCAGTGTCAATTTTTGAAGTTGAGTTTAAGTGGGATTATCATTGTTTTCTATAGAATGACAATGGTGAATGACTAAAGAGAATGCCCATAGACTATAATGGGAAGTAGAATATAAACTCATTTGCAGGTAAATCTGTGTTATGTAGCAAATTTATCTTTACCACATGTGTTCCCCAAGTACAGCAGTAGATTCTAAAATTAAAAATAACTGGGATTATAGCTCTTTTCTATGGAATGACGGGTAAATGATACAATGGAATGCCCATAGAGTATAATGGGAAGCAATATGTGACTTGGAATCTGAACCGTGAAACATATCAAGTCAATCTTTTGCAGGCATACTCTACACACACAGTCACCCACATACACACACAGGCAGACAGTCTCTCACACACACACACACACACACACAGCTACACATACACACATAGGCAGACAGTCTCACACACACACAGAGGCAGATGGCCATACACACAAAGGAAGACATCCAGACACACAGGCAGACAGTCACACACACACAGGCAGACAGTCACACAGAGGCAGACAGTTACACACACACAGAGGCAGGCGGCCATACACACAGGCAGGCAGGCAGCCTCACACACACTCTGGCAGACAGTCAGAGTTAGTTCAGTTAGACGAACGGCAACCCTTTGTGCAAACCGTCAATGTTAAAGTACTGTTCGAATTGTCGAACGGTGTTCGACTCCTGTTGAAGCATCGAAGTCTGGAGAAGATAAAGTTCAGCGGTGTTCGTGCCATCGCATATCTGATTTGAGTTCCATGAACTCGACGACTAAACACCGCTGAACACGTTCCACTGAATTAAAATGGCCGCCGCCACGTGTTCGTATGTCGAATGGCGGCTACTTCGATTACTTCAGCTGCAATCGAAGTGCCACTTCAAAAGTGCAGAACTGTACCAGTACCATTTAAAGGGGCAGAAACAGCGCTCCAAAATACAATAGGCACAAATAGAGTTTTTAAAGGGCAATACACCCCAGGGGCCATAGTCACAGGGCAAGAGGCTGTCAAGAAGGCCTCTCCAAAAGCTAATGAAGGGTAGTTCATTACAGGGCTGTAGTAGGGGTTTATGGGTTAAAGTGGAGTATGGGGGCTGTAGTGGGGACTAAAGGACTGTAATAGGGGGATAGGGGCTGTAGTAGGGTGTGTGGGCTGCAATTGAGGGTTAGGTGCTGTAGTAGTAGGCTAAATGCTGTAGTCTAAGTTGTCTAAGGAGGGATGCTATGTTTAACTTGCTATGTCTTTCAGATTTTTTTACA